CCCCCCCCCCCCACTAGGCACCCATGCCCTGGAAGAGGCTTGGCATGCTGCCCCACAATCAGGGCCTGGGGGCGAGGGAGTGGACAAAGCCTTCTCCGCTCTGCCCCCACCCTGCCAGCAGCACATGGCGCTTCGGGCGCTCCCTTGCCCCCAGGCCCTAATTAGCCTGGGGGCAGGGAAGCAGCAGGGCCTCCGTGGGCTGGATCCGGCCTGCGGAGGCCCTTTTGCCCACCCCTGGTCTTAAAGCTCAAGTGCTCTATAGCCCAGGTTCACTTCCTCCATCATCGGCACGCAGCCCTGCTGTGCTGTCGTCCTCCTGTGGGACCTTTCTCTGCCGGCTCTCAGGTCACTTTCCAGACCTGCACTGATTCCATCTCTCAGCACCCCCCTGGTTCCTCTGTGACATTGCTCCGATTCCAACACAGGCTTGACAACCAGAGGTGTCAGGACATCCACATTTTCTCCACCAGGAGCCCGGCTAGGAATTCGGGATGCCACTGAAAATCAGAACGCGCCTGTATCTTTGTACTGGCAGAGAAGCAGGACAGGCGGTGCTGTGAAAACCCACCCACGTCCCTTTCTCACATGCTCAAACGATGGAGTTAAAGGGAGGGGTGGAGAATGCTGCACAATTGTTCTGCGAGCACCCAGATACTCTGGCTAGAGGCTTCCCCCGCTTTCTTCTTAAGCATCTGCTGTGAAATCCCCCAATGCCTGCTGACTTCATTGAGACCAGGAAATCCCCCCTGCAGGGTGCATCATGCTGGGTCAGGAGGAGAAAGGGTTTCGATACAGCAGCGCTGATGGGAAAGTCTGCAGCTCCTCTCTTGTTTCACTCTGGTTCTCTTGCATCATAGTTTACACTGGTGCTGATTGTTGGGTTAGCAAATCACAGACCCCGTACAGGCAACTGCCTTTCCTTTCACCAGGAGTGTGAATGCAAACTCCCTCAGGGCACGTCTACGCAGCAGGGCTACAGGCGAATTAAGCCACGCAACTTGAGTTACGTCAGTTGCGTAGCTGAAGTTAAAATAGCTTCACTCGGCTTTTGGGGCTGTCTCCACAAAGACAGCCCCAAAGAAGTCGAAGGAAGAGCACTCGTCTTCTGACTTCCCTTCCTCCTCGTGCAACGAGGGTCACAGGAGTCGGAGTAAAACGACCTCCAGCTCCACATTATTGCAAAATAAAGACTGGTGGTGTAGACGCTCTTTGTTATTCCGAAATAACGCTGCTGGGTAGACTGAGCCCCATTGTGCAACTGGAACGTGTGGTCCTAGGAAAGCATCAAATCAGGGATGGGTTTTGCATTCCTGAATCTCTGCGGGTATCATATGAGCGTGTATGACCCGATGGCTAATACGTTCTTGTAGTGCCCGTCTGGGGTAGGCAGGCTAATAACTGGCCTTACTTTACAGCTGAGGACACTAAGGTTCAGAGATTAAGTGACCTACCCAAGGCCACAGAAGAAGCCGGTATCCAAGTTGGGAGGAGCGTTTGGGGTGCCTGGTCTCTGGGCCCTTTCTTGCATGGCCTCCCATTTTCATTGAACCCCGCCAAGAAGACCGAGTATCCAAGCCGCAGCAAGCACTGCTATAGCTGGGTTTAGGGTTAGCGCCTTGCGCTAATCAAATTGCCCCACTGAACAAAGCAGCCTCTGTGGGAAACTTGTGATTCATCCCCATCTGGGCTTTGTTCTTAGACAATCATTGATGAAGAAACTGGAGTCCTC